GTCTGGGGGTGGTATGCTGAAGACATTGCAAGCTTTGTCCCCAACAGTCCCATGAGCTCCTTCCAGAACTTACTCGTGAATTTGGGGTCTCTGTCTGAGATGAGTGTAGCGGGGATGCCGTGGATGGTGATGATGCGGTCGAAGAAGAGTCGAGCAGTTGCTTCACCTGTAGCTGTGGCGTTGGTCGGGATGAAGTGACCCATTTTGGAGAACTTATCGATCACCACGAGGATGGAATCATGTCCCCGTGAGGTCGAAGGAAGTCCTGTGATGAAGTCGAGGCTAACGACCTGCCATGGCTGCTCCGGTACGGGTAGAGGCTGAAGTAACCCTGCTTTTTTCTGCTTGCTACTCTTCATCCGCTGGCACGTGTCGCAAGAGGTGACGAACTGCTGCACGTCTGCTGCCATCTCGGACCAGTAGTAATACTTCGCTATCCCTGCTAACGTCTTGTTGCTCCCGGAATGTCCCGCGTAAGGTACGTCGCGAAACTCCTCCAATAGGATCTGCCGTAGCGGGGCGTAATTCGGTACCCAAATCTTTCCTGAACCCTTCCTTACAGCTAAGTCTTTCTCCCACTGTAATAGCTTCTTGGTCTGTGCTGTAGCAATCTCTGCGTCCACGGAGTACCCATGTTGGAATAGACCCTTGAGCAGAGAGTTCATCCCGTCGAGCTGGATGCTTGCTACATGTCCGGGGCGGCTCAACGCGTCTGCCTTGTTGTGTAGCCCGGGCTTGTAGACGATGTCGTGAATGGGGTAGTTTAGTTCTGCTCCGTGTAGCTTCTTACTGAGGTAGGCGATGGGCTGCAAACCGCGTCCGTGATCCTGCATCAGTACTGCTCCGACTGCTTGGTCACTAGCGTCTGCTTCCACCACGTACTCCTTGTCTGGATCCGGCAAGGATGAGTACTGGCGCTGTAGTCAGTGCTGTCTGTTTGTTCAGTGCGCGGTAGTCGATGCACATCCGTAAACTACCGTCTGGCTTTGGAGTGAAGAGAACTGGTGCACCGTAGGGAGAGGTGGATGGGTGGATCAGTTGTCTGTCCAATAGATACTCTATCTGTTTTTTCATGTTTGTCAGTTCAGTCGGACTCAGTCGGTATGGTGCACGTGAGACGGGTTTCGCACCTGGTTCCTCCAAGATCTCGTGCTCGTGGGTGCGTGCTGGAGATACGCCTGTGGGTAGGTCATCGGGCATTATATCCTTGTACTGCTCCAAGACCTCCTCCTCTGCTGCTGCTATAACCAGTGCTAAGTAACCCGTGTTACTCTCGTTCACTGTCCGTTCGAACCGTGCCAGTGTCGTTTCAGGAACGCTCCCTGTATCCGTCAAGCTTCGCAGCTCCACTCGTTTCCCGTTGTTGTAGATGCACGTTTTCCGGTTGACCCAGTCGATCTTGGGGTTGAACCGCTTAAGAAAATCTTGCCCCAAGATGAAATCTAATCCGTTGATGTTCGTGATCGGCAACGTCGGCTTCCACCTCAACGCCCCTATCTGCAGCTGCAGAGTTGACTTTCCGTGGATGGGAAGCTTCGTACCGTCCACCATCGTTGCTGTAAAGTGGGTTTCTTCTTAGGATTCTCCAATTTTCTCCAACGTCCCGCGGTCGCACACCGAGTGGGACGCACCACTGTCCACCAGGGTCTGGAGGCGACGCCCGTTGCAGATCACCTCGAGTACTAGTGGTTGCTGCTGCTCCGAGTATCCGTAGATGGTATCGCTTATAGGATCGTAGGGTACGTCGAATATGTTATCCCTAGGTCCTGCGCTCAAAGATGCAGCTTCAGTACCAGTTTTCAACTGAGAAAGGTTAGAAGGATTTATCCGAGGCCGATTCGGCTTTTCTTGGGCCTGGAACCTTCCACTAAGCCTTTGTAGCTGTGTAGGCTTCATCTGTGGGGAACAGGGAGCCTTTAAACAGTGCTGGTGGGAGAGAATATTAACTCCTCGAAACGCTCGACCCGTATTAGCGCTCTGGAGTAGGGTCCCCATAATACCCGGTACCGGTTTAATTTCTGACTCTCCCTTAATAAAGGCTTGAAACCCACGAGAAGTAATATTCTTACTTGTCGGGGTATACGGCTGGAGTTTCCCGGTTGGTGCAGGGTCTTGTTTCGCGGAACCTCCATTAGTCTTGGCGATTTCCCCTGGTGCCGGCTGGTCGTGACGTTTTAAATAAGCGCCACCATATTCTCCTTTTTTCGCCCTCTCCGAAGTTGCCACGTTGTCCGTTTTCTGCTTCGGGGGTGCCGCACTGTTCTTGTCCTTCAGCTCCGCACACCTTCTCTCCATTTTCCAACACGCCAAGATACGATGTCCTGTAGCGCCGCAAAATTTGCACGTCTCATTATTTGCTAGCTGCTGCTCCACATCGCCCTCGTCGTTCTCCATTGGGTCGGCAGTCGTGGGTGGTGCCAATCGCCCCATGCCACTAGTTGGCTTGTTGGGTCGTGTTCCGTAGTAGCTACTGTTCAACGTGTCGAACCGTTCAATCGGTGCTGCCGGAACCTGCGCCCACGTCCCCTCACCTTGGACTATTCTGTTGTTGATCCACTCTAGAGCTCGGCCTCGTAACAGTGTTGCCGCGAGCCGTATGCGCATTGCGTCTTTTGTCAGGGTCGTGCATCTAACGGCTTTGAAGTAAATTTCGAGTTCAGCTACAAATCGACGAACGTCGTTCCTTTTTACTGTAGGATCGAACGCCTCCGATAGCCTCAGCTTCACTGCTTCGAGGTTAACTGTAGCTGCCGCCGTTGTCGCATGTAGAATTGTCGGTGTAGCCGCTGCTGCTGCTGCTACTGTTGTCGCTGCTGCTGTGGCGGTTGCCGACTGGTTCGCAAGGAGTTTTTCGAGTCGTGGGAGCGCTGCACGTATTTGCTTATGCTCAGCACGTAACTCCGCGATTTTCTGTACTGAAATATCTCCTTTTCCCTCCATTTGGCGATTTACAGGAAGATGCGCGACGAAAATAATCGAATTCTAGGTGCTGGTCGACTTACTGCGAGTCAAATTGACTGTAGAATTGACGAGCGCGAATTGTGTAGGTTGCGTAAATCTCCCTTAGGCGAAATTCGCGTCCGATCTTGGCCGTTGAGGAGAAAATCGATCCGACGCTCCAAATTCCAACTTTTTTGGGCGAAATTCTCTGGGCCGTTAAGATGAAACTCGATCGAACGGTCGAAACTCCAACCTTTCCACCAGTAAATCTGAGGGGTGTTCGAAAACCGAATCGAGGGGGACTTAGAAAAATTGCGCGGAACTGGTTTTACACACCCGTATCGGCGCTTTCGTCGTCGCCCCCGCGGTTTTTAAAGGCCAGAACTAAGCGGTTGAAGACCTCGCGTGTAAACCCGCTCTGATAACCAAGTGTGAGGATCTGGGATCGAGCTCAGAAAAGATGATTCGAATCGGCTGCTGCTTCACGTCGTATTTGTCGATATCCATCGGTTCGGCGAACGTGGGGGGTGCCGATCGCTCCGTGCCAAATGTACGGTTCGGCGTGAAGCGTCGTGTTTCGGGTTGACTTCGAGTCAGCGCGTCGTATCGCTCGGCAGCACGCACGATGTCTCTGTAGCTGTTGTAATTCGCCGCAATCACCTGCCGCCGAATCTCCATTTTTAATCCTTCGGTGTACGCCTGGATTTTTTCGCCTTCGGTCAGGTCGGTGATGCGGTTGAACAGTAACTCCATCTGCTGCGTATACTGTGTTACACTACTGTATTGCTTGTGTCGGTGTATCTGCTGCCGCGCCATGTAGGTTGTATTAATTGGTTCGAAACGCTCGATTAAATCTGCCCGAAACTGCTGCCACGTTTTCTCCCCGCGGGCTACGTCGTTGTAGTAAATCCATTTGAGAGCCGGTCCACGTAACAGTGTCGCTGCGAGCCGAATCCTTGCTGCGTCGTGTTGTGGGGTCGAACAGCCAATGGCCTCGAAGTAAATTTCGAGGGTGGCCACGAATCGCCAGACGTCGGATCCCTTCGCGCTTGGATCGAACGCCTCCGGGAGCCTCAGTCGTGCTGCTTCGAGGTTCGGCGACAGTGGTGCCATTGGTCCGTGAAATGTCGGTGTCGCCACTGCTGCTGGAGTTGTCGGTGCTGTAGTCGCTGTGGTCGCTGCTGCTATGGTGGCGAACCTTGGTTGGCTTGTCAGAAAAGCCTCGAGTCGACGAAGCGTCGCCTGCGTCTGCTCCATGTCAGTGCGAAGGCTCGCAATGTCACTCGTAGTCGCGTAGTTGTCGCCTTGGCCCTCCATTTGGTGATTTACAGGAAGATGCGCGACGAAAATAATCGAATTCTAGGTGCTGGTCGACTTACTGCGAGTCAAATTGACTGTAGAATCGACGAGCGCGAATTCTGTAGGTTGCGTAAATCTCCCTTAGGCGAAATTCGCGTCCGATCTCGGCCGTTGAGGAGAAAATCGATCCGACGCTCCAAATTCCAACTTTTTTGGGCGAAATTCTCTGGGCCGTTGAGATGAAACTCGATAGAACGGTCGAAACTCCAACCTTTCCACCAGTAAATCTGAGGGGTGTTCGAAAACCGAATCGAGGGGGACTTAGAAAAATTGTGCGGAACTGGTTTTACATACCCATATCGGCGCTTTCGTCGTCGCCCCCGCGGTTTTTAAAGGCCGGAACTAAGCGGTTGAAGACCTCGCGTGTAAACCCGCTCTGATTACCAAGTGTGAGGATCTAGGATCGAGTTCAGAAAAGAGAATGAGAATTGAGTCGAATTGAATTGAATTGAATGTCCACCTGGGTACAACACGAGGCTATATATAGGCTCGACACAAGGCCCCGTAACCAGGTGTTACGCGAAGGTTCCGCGGGTCGCGAAGCGTCCCGAACAGATCCTTACCGAATTCGGTAGAAGGCAATTCGGTGGCAACCGAAAAGCCAGAATTCGGTGCACGCAACCTAGCTCGGTGCTATAACTATAATAAAATATAGGAAAGCACCTACCCTAGAAAATCAAGCAATTCATGCATGCATATGATTATCCTATGCTAGAAATAGCATGATAAAGTAGAGGCAAGCAAGCATAGCTGGCATAAGCCGTCGTAGAGAACGAGGGGAGATAGAGACCTGACAGGGTGCCAGAGGGGGCTGCCAGGCACGGTAAGAGAGTGGAGAAGCTAGCAAGGTCAGGACCCCCAGAGGGGTCCGCCAGGGAGACTGCAACCGGCCGACAAAGCGGCGTAAGCGTGGTGCGGTCTCGAAAGAAGGAGCGGGACGCACCCGAGTCAAGGGTGAAGGTGTGTAAGGCCTGAGCCGACGTAGTACCTGAGAGAGCAGACTCACCAGCACCTGGGGCAGCAGACGCACTAGCACCTGGGGCAGCAAACCCACTAGCACCTAGAGCAGCAGCCTCACCAACACCTAGAGCAGTAGCCTCAATGCCCGGGTCAGGCAGTACACACAGGTAATAGTCACCCTCAACACTAGTAGTCACAGCATACATGGCAGCAAGGATAGCATCATAGTCAAGATCAAAGATGGCAACCCCCGCCCTAGACAGATCTCCCCAGCGCGGGATCTCTGACGCCTCAAGGAACTGGTGACGCCACGCGTCCATCAAGCGGCCGAAGCAGCGCTGGGTGGAGTCCGGGCCCCCGCACTGCTCACCAGCGCGGTCGCCGGTACGGAGGACGTAGGTGCAGGGACCAGTACCCCCACCGCGCTGACGCGCAGCGTACCACTACGAAGCTGCTGAGGGGTAAGGGTCTCACGACCGCGCTGCTGCTGCTGGCGGTGACCACCACCAGACCCACTCCTCTGCGCAGAGTCGCGACCAGCTCCACCGCCGCCGCCACCACCGCCCCCGCCGCCTCCGCCACCGCCGCCTCCGCCACCTCCGCCGCCTCCGCTCCCTCCGCCGCCACCGCCGCCTCCTCCGTCTCCACTGCTGCCACCACCGCCGCCACCCCCGCCACCACTCCCACGACCACCCCCACCCCCTCCACTGCCTCCACCACCACCTCCACCGCCCCCGCTAGCCCCTCCAGCGCCCTTGCCCCCCTTGCCCTTGCCGGTGCGACATCTCCCGCCAGGGGCAGACGCAGCGCCGACCCCGGAGAAACCAACGAGGTCGGCAGCAGCAGAAGAAGCAACAGAGGGCAGGAGGGGGGAGGGGGAACACCCCTCAAAGACGGGGTTGCGAGGGTCACCACGAGAGGTTCCTACAGCGACTATGCTCTTCTCTGCTGCTAGGAGGCCCTTCTCGAGGAGGTCAGCGGTTAGAGTGGTGCGGAAAACTGAGAGGAAGTGGTCCCTGACTACGCGGAGAGAGTCAGGGAGACGGGTGACTATGTAGTAGAGGGTGATGTACATGGGGGGTGGTTCTTGGCGCAGAATTCAGCAGCAAGTGCAGTGCGGTAGCGAATTTCACTAGTGCGGAGGTGCGTAATGAGGTCAGCGACTGTGGGAAAGGCAGCAAGGTCAGGGAAGAGGTACGGTAGCATGAGGCGGCTCAGTGCAGCAGTGGCAGGGGAAGAGTAGCGTGCAACTACAGCGTCGTACAAGGTCTGAGCACTCTTGTACTGGCTAAAGTGTGCACGCTCAGTGGTCGGTAAGTGGCGACGCACAGCAAGACGGGCAGCAGCATCGCGGGTCACCCACTGTGAGCGAACAGTGCTGTCAGCAGTAGCAGGCGGGGCAGGGGAGGCACCAAAGGTGAGGTCAAACAGAGAGAGGCCATCTACCCTATTGCACTAGAGGAACAGCTAGAGATCATCGACCCAGACCTCAAAGTCAACAGTACGGCCCTCAGTGTCAAAGGTAAGAACACTGGGGGTAGCCATAACTGCAGAGGTCTAGCAAGGAGGGAGCTCACCTGTACGAGTAAGTAGGGCCGGGGTGCGTTGGTAGGACTGGGAGCGGCTCGGCTGATGGGCGGCTCGGCGGTCGGCTACTGGGCGGCTCGGCGGCTCGCCTGCTGGGCGGCTCGGCAGCTAGGCGGCTCTGCTGCTGGGCGGCTCGGCTGTCGGGCGGCTCAGCGGCTTTGCTGCTAGGCGGCTCGGCTGCTGGGCGGCTCGGCGGTTCTGCTGCTGGGCGGCTCGGTAGAGGCGGCGTCGAGGCCGCGTAGGATGATAGACGTGATTCACCTTTTTAAAACCCACAGACATGCATTGTTATTGCAATGATAGTATATGCAAATGCAATGGATGGATGCACACACACACATATACACACACACATATATACACACACACACAGACACACACACACACATGCACACATACATACACACATACACACACATGTCAGAACATATCTATAGCTTATACTATTGTGTAGGCTGTAGTGGGGTATCCCATAGGGGGTACAACCCAGTTAGGGTTTCATATTTGTACTGCCATCATTCATAGTTCACACATTCCTGTTCACTTGTTTCACATGGTATAGAGCGGGTCCTTTCTAAGGACCGTTTTTTTTAGGGCCCACCGAAGCGCGCCCCGAGGCGCGCTTTTATTTTTTCGCGGCCCCTCGGGTCGCCATTTCCATCGCGGCCCCGCCGCCTGCTTGACGCGGCCCCGCTGCCTCCACTGACGCGGCCCCGCCGCCGGCTCTGACGCGGCCCTGCCGCCCGCTACGTCGCGGCCCCGCCGCCTGCTTTACGCGGCCCCGCCGCCTCTGTCAAAATTATATTTATTATAACTGCATGTAGTTCTAGCAGTAGTGTAGTTATTTAAACTTTGTATTGGTGGTGCACCTTATGTGTTTCCTTTGCTATATGTACTTCAAAACTATAGTGAAGCTCCTCATTCTCCCAACTTTTTCTCAACTCACTCGAACTCCTACCTAGGCACAAAACCGCTCGACACCTAAAGCTCGGGCCTAGGCTACTAAGCCTAGGCCCCACCTTTCTACCTCTCAACTTACCCATTCTTATTACTCTCGACATGTTATCGGAGCTGAGTTCGTCCTGGCCTGTGGGCCCGCTTTACACTTCCGCTGCTAATATTTTCCGGTCGCGCGCCTAGGGCGCGTGACGATTTTATTTTTACCTTGTCCCGCCCACGGGCGTGTGACTCCTTCCCTGCCCGTCGCGCGCCCCGTGGCACGTGACGGTGCCCTTCAACTGCCCATCGTGCGCCCCGTGGCACACGATGGTGCCCTGCTCGTCGTGTGCCCCGAGGCACACGATCGGGCCCTTTTATTCTACCCGTCGTGCGCCCCGTGGCACTGGCCCGCGACGGGCCTTCTTTCCGCCCCTGCACTCCCTGAAGCCGCCCCTGACCCATCTGCACCGACACCTCTTCGCCGCTCTGCGGCTTTCTTCCTTCCCACCCCCCTTCTTCCTTTGCCTCCCTGCAGCCGTGGGGAGGAGGGTATGGGGGTGGAGGGTGTTGGAGTGTGGCGTCACCTCTCTCCCTTCCCCTCCTCCTTCTTTCAGTCCCACCGCTGCAGCTGCCGCTGGGGGAGGAGGGTGTGAGGATGTGGGGGAGCAGGGGGAGTGGTATCGGGGTGGCGGGTGTGAGGCAACAAGCAGCCGTCCCTCCACCTCTCCTCTCTTCCCCCTTTCTCTGCTGCTTCTGCAGCAGTGTGGGGGAGGGGAAGGGGGAGGGTGAGGAGATGGAGGGGGTGTACCTGCTGTTGCTTGTTTTATTGTTCGTTGGTGTACCTCTGCAGGTTGTGCTCTGCACTTAGCTATTCCTGCATGCAGTTACGGGGGGATGTCAAAATTATATTTATTATAACTGCATGTAGTTCTAGCAGTAGTGTAGTTATTTAAACTTTGTATTGGTGGTGCACCTTATGTGTTTCCTTTGCTATATGTACTTCAAAACTATAGTGAAGCTCCTCATTCTCCCAACTTTTTCTCAACTCACTCGAACTCCCCTAGGCACAAAACCGCTCGACACCTAAAGCTCGGGCCTAGGCTACTAAGCCTAGGCCCCACCTTTCTACCTCTCAACTTACCCATTCTTATTACTCTCGACAGCCTCCACTGACGCGGCCCCGCCGCCGGCTCTGACGCGGCCCTGCCGGCCCGCCGCTGCACCTGACGGCTCCGCCGCTGCACCTGCCGGCCCGCCGCTGCACCCTACGGCCCGCCGCTGCACCCTACGGCCCGCCGCCTCACCTGACGGCCCCGCCGCTGCGCCTGCCGGCCCGCCGCTGCACCCTACGGCCCGCCGCTGCACCCAGCGGCCCGCCGCTTCACCTGACGGCCCAGCCTTTGCACCTGCCGGCCCGCCGCTGCACCCTACGGCCCGCCGCTGCACCCAGCGGCATGCCGCTTCACCTGACGGCCCCGCCGCTGCACCTACCGGCCCGCCGCTGCACCCTACGGCCCCGCCGCTGCACCTGCCGGCCCGCCGGTGCACCTACCGGCCCGCCGCTGCACCCTACGGCCCCGCCGCTGCACCTGCCGGCCCGCCGCTGCACCGGTCGACCCGCCGCTGCACCTGCCGGCCCGCCGCTGCACCTGACGGCCCCGCCCCTGCATCTCCCGGCCGAGCCGCCCCAGCAGCAGAGCCGCCCCAGCAGCCGAGCCGCCCCAGCCGCCGAGCCGCCCCAGCAGCCGAGCCGCCCTAGCAGCCGAGCCGCCCCAGCAGCCGAGCCGCCCCAGCTGCAGTGCCGCCCGAGCCGCCCGAGCCGCCGAGTCGCCCGAGCCGCCCAGCAGTCGAGCCGCCCAGCAGTCGAGCCGCCCGAGCCGCCCGAGCCGCCCGAGCCGCCCGAGCCCTCCCTGCACTGCCCTGTCTGGTGAGCACTGAGCTTTACTCTGCGCACTGCCCTCTCTCTACTGCTGTCATGGCTGCCCCCAGTGTCCTCGCCTTTGACGCTGAGGGCAGAGCCATTGACTTTGACGTGTGGGTAGACGACCTACTGCTTTTCCTACAGTGCGACAGAGCTGACGGACTCTCTCTCTTTGATCTCACTTCTGGTGCCTCTCCCGCCCCTGCTGCTACTGAGGATGCCACTGTTCGCTCACAGTGGGCCACACGCGATGCTGCTGCACGTCTTGCTGTGCGTCGCCACCTCCCTCCCGCTGAGCGTGCGCACTTTGGGTCGTACAAGAGTGCTAAGACCTTGTACGACGCCGTTATCGCACGCTACTCCACCCCTGCCACTGCTGCACTGAGCCGCCTCATGCTACCGTACCTCTTTCCCGACCTTGCTGCTTCTGCCACAGTCGCCGACCTCATTACCCACCTGCGCACTAGTGACGCTCGTTTCCGCGCTGCACTTCCTGCTGAGTTCTGTGCCAAGAACCCCCCCCCCCCAGTACTTCACTCTCTACTACATTGTCACCCGCCTCCCTGACTCCCTTCGCGGAGTCAGGGACGACCTACTCGCAGTCTGCCCCACCACTCTCACTGTCGAGATCCTCGAGAAGTCCCTCCTCGCAGCCGAGAAGAGCATTCTCGCTGTAGGGGCCTCTCGTGGTGACCCGCGCACCCCCATCTTTGAGGGGTGTTCCCCCTCCCCCCTCCTGCCCTCTGTCGCCTCTGCTGCTACGGCCGACCTTGTTGGTTTTGAGTCGGTCGGAGCGGCGTCTGCCCCCAGCGGGAGACGTCGCTCTGGCAAGAGCAAGGGGGGCAGGGGCGGTGGTGGGGGCGGCGGGGGCGGTGGAGGCGGAGGTAGAGGCAGCGGCGGAGGTGAGGGTGGTAGCGGGAGTAGTGGCGGGAGTGGAGGCGTCGGCGGAGGCAGTGGAGGCGGGGGCGGCAGCGGCGGTGGTAGTGGGGGTGGAGGCGGAGGCGGCGGTGGCGGCGGCGACGGTGGGAGTGGCGGTGGCGGTGGAGGTGGTGGCGGCGGCGGCGGAGGAGGCGGCGGAGGTCGTGGCGCGCCGAGGAGGAGTGGCTCCGGTGGTGGTCAGCGCCAGCAGCAGCAGCGTGGTAAGGAGACCCTCTCCCCGCAGCAGCTCCGTGAGTGGTACTCTGCGCGTCAGCGGGGTGGGGGTACTGGTCCGTGCACTTACGTCCTGCGCACTGGCGACCGTGCGGGTGAGCAGTGTGGTGGTCCACACTCCGCCCAGCGTTGCTTCGGCCGCCTGACTGACGCTTGGCGCCGCCAGTTTCCTGACGCCTCTGAGATCCCTCGCTGGGACCAGCTGTCTAGGGCTGGAGTAGCTATCTTTGATCTTGACTTTGATGCTATTCTTGCTGCTACGTATGCTGTGACTATTAGTGAGGAGGGTGACTGTTACCGGTGTTTCCCGCCCGACCCGGGCATTGGTACTGAGGCTCTAGGTGCTGTTGAGGCTGCTGCTCCAGGTGCTGGTGAGGCTGTTGCTCTAGGTGCTAGTGAGTCTGAGTCCTCAAGTGCTGGTGAGTCTGCTCTCTCAGGTACTGTGTTGACTTCACCCTCTCTCACTTTCACTCTTG